ATTTTATCTGCTTGATCCACAAGTTATGTATCTATATCTGTATATTTATATCAGCATATGCAGTGGTGTGTGTGTGTGTGTGTGTGTGTGTGTGTGTAAAAAGTAGGATCAAAGTAGATCATATTCTACAGTCATACAATGAGTTTTTGTCAAATGAGAGGCTAGCTATCTTGACTGATAGACAGTGATTTGCTTAGTGTTTCACAATTTGTCACAGGATTGCAGTCTGTTCACTATGATTCATCATTTAGGATATCAAGTGAACTTGGCTAACAGTATTTAATAAATAGTAATTAAATAAACCCTGGTTTAATGTACTATGTGACTCCAAACCAAATGTGTCACTGTAATAATAATTATCCCACATTGACTCAGAATTTTACATGTAGAATGGAATTCTACCTTTAAAGGATCAAAGTGGCTAATGATAACTCATTGAATATTTTAATTTCAGAGGAAAATGCCTTTTAATTCCTATACAGTGGCCCAGAAAAAATTAAGAGGGATGAAATTGACATGCATTTTGTCAGGTTTGCTTTTTCTCTTCCAAAGACACATACCTTCTTTTCCTTTCCCTTGTAATTAGGATAAAGGGATTTCATTGCCAGTTTTGCTTTGGTGACAATCATAACAGAAGTGTCTTCTATGTAGGCATACGCAATTTCAGACAAACTTTTTAAATAATGGCTTTTTAAGAGGATATGTGCCTCCCTGGGTTCTCTGAAAGCTACTTTAGTAGGTTTGTGATGTACGTCTCCAAATGGTTCACACAACTCTAGTAATGACCGAAATTAGAAATATCTAGACCTTGGAACTATATCAATTTCTATTCCACCAGACAAACAATATTACTAACTTCCTTCTTTCTACTGCAGGCAACAGCTGTTGTAAACATTAAGCTTCATCTTGTTTGGAATGTATATCCTCCATTCCTTGAGATATCCACCATGTTATCCTTAGTGCAGCATGATTAAAATTCAAAGATAGTTCTACAAAATGAAGGAAAAATTACTAAATAGCCAAACGCAAAGGACTGGGTTAGTTGAGGGACTGCCTTTTCCGATTTCATCTGCCCATCTCACTGGATCCAATAGAATGAACATGTTATGGGTTGTCTCTTCTAGGGAGCTTCATTTGATGGGATATAAGTGGCGGGCATTTCTGTCATGGTCTCTGTATTGTGGAATCTTCTCCTCCCCAGAGATGAGATCAGCCTCATCATTTCTGAGTATTCAAAATTCCTCAAAATCTGGATATTTCAGCAGGCTTTGGGACCCCAGGGATGAGCAAATAAGTGAGGTGACTCCCATATTGTTAATATTCCTCTGCCTATTCATTTCCTTTTGTTTTAGTTTTGTTTTATAATTTTTAAGGCTTTTAAATAATGATATGACATTTTTATATTTCAACTGTTTACTGGATTGCTGTACACCGCTCAGAGTCATTTTGTGTGAGATTTGTAGCTATATAAATTTGATTAATAAATAAATAAAAATTAAAAAAAGAATACCACACAGTTGGCTGGTCTAATGAGAAGTATTCCACTCTAATGTTTTATTTATTTTTCTTTTTATATTTTCCAAAAGGAAACCTACTGTAGTGCTTTAAAGCAAACTTCAGAGCATAATCTACCATTCGCTTTTCTCCCTTTTATTTCAGAAATAATAGATGGCATTTCTGTACTATGCTCAAATGGCAATATCTATTTGCATAATCTATAGTGACACACTTCTGCTAATTACTACTTTCACTGTTTTACAATTACTTGTCTTCTTCATCTTCATATATACTATAATTTTAAATTTAAAATCAGCTGTCACTGATTTTGGATAGGGGTAATATATAGATACAATGGACAGGACAGTGGTCTAAATGAGTCATCAATATAGTCTGTTTTGAAAATTCTGTTGTTACAATTATCTGTATAATACAAGATAGCATCAACAATGTTTTTTCCATAAGGCGACTCGTGGAAAATATTTGAAGTTCATTTACAGATTTCTTTCATACCCTTTACTTTAATATTAGTTTTGGGAAACATAAATATCTGAAGAATCTAACTATCTCCAATCATATCCAACTATATGAAAGCATATAAGGAGAAGAGAAAGTGTCTGTTTTCGGTGCTTAAGACTAACCTGTATAGAAGGGTTTTTTTATTGTTACACTGTGTAATTATATAGGCCAGGATCTTCCCATCAGTTTATTAGAAGTAGTTTATGTCTGTCACCTGATGCAAACTTCCGCTACTTCATAGTCACGGTCACCACAAAGATCTATGATGGGCTTCTAATTCTAAAAGCTTGGCATAGCAATCTTAAAAATGGGGAATGGTTCCTGGAGAAAGGAGTCCTTAAATTCTATCTTGACTCTAACCATGGTGGTTTCCCATATAAGTTCAGAGTTTAACCTGCTTAGCTGCTTAGCTGTTATCATGCCATGTTCTCTGGAGGAACCAACATTGTGAAGTATGAAAAATGTCACTCCAGAAGCATTCTTCCTCATGCACATACAAAAGGGCAAAGCTTGCATTGTTATGGCATATTGCCCCTCTTCTTGTTATTTTGTATGGACACTTGTGACTATTACACTAATCATATTGGTATTTTCTAACCTAAAGCTTAAATATAGATTATGGATTAATTCTTCTTAATTAATTTTTATCTATCTTGACTTCTCTACATTTCTTTTTTTTTTTTTCAGATGATTATATCACAGAGAGTAAAAAGGCAAGCAACATTCTGACAAAGCCCACAGATATTTATAAGCTATGCTAGCTGGTTTCTGCATGTGATTCTCTAAACAGGAAATTAATCTTTTTAAAGATTAAATTGATAAATCTTCTGATCCAATGTGCTACTGCCTTCAAATTTATGAAAACATCAGAACTTGAAAGTGGACATTCAGAAATATTTAGGCTTAGCACTGAGCAAAGTTCATTTTTTTCTATTCATGAATACTTAGAAAAAGCACTAATCTAGAGATGATTTATGCTCCCATATATGAATGAATAACACAAATAACACTATGTTATCTTAGCAAATAAGGGCTGATAAGGGCAAATAAGGGCTGAATTCACACATAATCTGAAAGCAGAATTTTTAAAATCATTTTTTATTGAACAGACCATCGTGAGTTAGTTTGTATACAATACTAAGCCAGAATGACAGTTTTACTAAGCAAAAAGCAAACAAGTAAATTATGACTTATTATTATGTGTAAACCCAGCAAAGGATTGGAAAAGGTCAAATAGAAACCAAAATCCAAGGGTTCAGTATACAATTCGATTGGCAACTATTTTCTCCTTGAATAATACCTAATTTTAATAATCTCAGTCCTGAAATCTGATTTGTAAACATTACAGTTTTTCTCACTAAATAAATCAAGGTGCATGTTAGCTTCTTTTAGTTCTTTTACAAATTAACTGTATAATAGGAAATGAGATAATAATAATAATAATAATAATAATAGTAAAGTTGGAAGGGACCTTGGAGGTCATCTAGTCCAACCCCCTGCTCGGGCAGGAAACCCTACACCATTTCGGACAAATGGCTGTCCAGTCTCTTCTTAAAAACTTCCAGTGTTGGAGCATTTACTGCTTCTGGAGGCAAGCTGTTCCACTGATTAATTGTTCTCACTGTCAGGAAGTTTCTCCTTAGTTCTAGGTTGCTTCTCTCCTTGATTAGTTTCCACCCGTTGCTTCTTGTCCTGCCTTCAGGTGCTTTAGAAAATAGCTTAATTCCCTCTTCTTTATGGCAGCCCCTGAGATATTGGAATACTGCTATCATGTCCCCCCTTGTCCTTCTCTTCGTTAAACTAGATAATCATATGTATCTTAATTTTACTACTTTTTTGAAATCATGAGAATGCTAGCTAAAAAGTAATATGTAACAGATCTAAAGAACAGATTTGATAATAGCAAATAATCAGCCTAGCTGTTAACCGCTTTACAAGTAATGTACCCAGTCATTTGTCAGCATGCCACTGTGTGTGTGTGTGCACACATGCATGTTTGGACATATGTGCACCTATAAAAATCTAATATGTTCTTCCTCCTGCCTTGAAATATGAGAACAAGAACATGACATTGCATTTGCTAGCATTCCTATTATGTGTGTTTTTCTCATATTTTCATGGGCATATTTTTATGTCCTGCTCAGTAGATTATCAATTCTCAAATTATTTAATGCCAAACTATCCATTTAATGATGTATTGGTATGATACTTGCAAATCAGTAATTTAAAGAAAGAGATACTATCCGTAGAAAGTTCCACTCATTAAGTCCTATGGACAGAATTGCAATGAATTAAACTTTTTCTACATTGCAATTACTGAAATTGTTGTAAGTAAGAATGTGTTTTTAAAATAACAAGTACAGAATTGCAACTTTTTTTCTGGAATCTATTTATTCACACAATTCAAATAAGAAAAAAGTTAATTACCACTGCTTTTATGACATGTTGTGTTTGTGCATTTGTGAGGTAATATGAAGTACAAGACGCTTTGCTAAGTACTGCATGTATGAACCAAGAACAGAAGATAAGAAATTGAAAACAATGATATGAGGACTAAGAATACACAAAGAGAGCATTTGAATCAGAGAAGGAAACTTCAACCTGAGCAATAGCTTTTGTGAATAGCTTAACTCTTAAAACTGAATTTGCAAATTCTCTTCCCAATATATTATAGTTTCAAGTAAAAAATAAACAGATAAACCAAATTTCAGTTATTTAACGTTGGCCTTGAATATGAACTTTCTTATGAAGACACACAGATGCCTTGAGTCAAGTAAAATTAACCTGGTTCAAATGCCAAATTCTCTGAAAAGGACAAAAATGGTATTTCATTCCTCACATTAACATCATTACCCATTAATGAGTAAGCAGTTGAGGTACACCTTTGATATTTGGGCTGTTTAAGGTTCAACTATGTTTACTTCAAAGTTCCAAAACATCACAGAGCTAAATAAGAGAGAAAGTAAAAAGTAAAATATGTTTACCTCTCTGTTGTGCAGGTGTGGGATGGTCTTGGGAAGTATTTCTTCCCCCATCCCGTTCTTTTATTTTCCCCTTATTTCCTCTGTTTATTCAAAGCTTCTGACCAGGCAGGGAAAAAAGAATAAGAACACAGGCTTGGGAGAGTAAAAATCCAAGTTCCAGCTCAGCTTAGAAACTGTCAAGAGTCCTATGTGGCCTGCTGTAAAGACTTGGAGGGGGGGGGGAAAGGTTGCTTGGGGGAGGAGAGGAAGGGAGGGTGGGGAGACCGGGTGTTTAGGGAGACAAAGCAATCAAGGTTTAAATTTAGACGCAAAACTAAACGGATACTGCCTTTCCAGGAGTGAGGGGAGAGAAGAGAGAGCAAGGCAGAATCAGTTATGCACCCTGTTTTTTGTCTTTCTCGTTATTTCTCAATTTTCCACTTCCTCTTCTTACTACATCTTCTTTCTGGTAAAAGCTTTTGTTCTAGTATTTTTCCATAGTTTTCTGGGTCTCTCTTCTTTAACCCAACAAGCAAAAGAGTAGGCTGTTTACCAGTTTAAAGTATTAAAGCAACGCTAAGGCCACATTCCAGAATCATAATCCAGTAGGTGAGGCATAAGGCTTTTAGCAAGCCACCTTTTAATTGTCTCAGACTGTATACAAATACTTTAAAGATGGGTGAGGTGGGGTAGAGAAACCTCTACATTTTGGCATGGCAATATTAACTGCCTTTGGTTGCAGATGTTTACATTTGCAAATCCTGTAAATTGGTGTTCTATAAACTCCTTTTAGGTCACAAGTGAGTAGCCTTTCTCAGTTTGGTGTCTTCCAGTTTTGTTGATTTATAGCTCTCATAATTCCTCACCAGCACAGCAAAAGGACATGCTACGTGAATTGTAATCACACATATCAGGAGGGTGCCAGATTCGGAAAGACTAACTTTAAAGAGACAGAAGGAGACATGCCAAGTTATGTTTAATACCCTCTGCACCCCTGCCAAATGTCCACTCCAGCAAATCAGCTTCCAGAATGGAATCAGAGGAAAGCCAGAAAGGTTTCTGTTGTCTGTCCAGCCCTAACAAAGTTTTCCACTGGTTTAATAAATAATGTAACCTCTATGTTTTCTTCCTTGCTTATCTGATTGAAAAAGAAAAAGGCAGTATTGTTTAAAAAGTATTTGCTGAACTTTTGAGTCTGAATCATTACAATTCTGTTTAGTGGTGGCACTTTAATCACATCTTAGGAAATAGCTACCTTTTCCACAAAGAAAATAGGCTAGTTAAAGTCATTTCTGCATTTAAAGCAACACTCTGTTTTTTAGGTCAATAAATTACTTGTGATTTATTGTCTCGATGATGGACGGGTGGCATTCGGGCCAATCAGAAGACGGAGTGGCAAGAGGGTTATTTAACCTTGCCTCAAACTTAAAAGAAGCTCAAATGGGGGCATTGGCTATTCTATATTTTAATATATTCACATTAAGTCTCACACTTTTAAAATACTATGTTTTGTTTCCATGTATGCATCATTTAACATATAAAAATAAAAATAATGGCTATGGGTGCTAAGCAGGAAGTAGATATTTCCGTAATTCTCGTAACATTTAATGGCATGCAAACAGAAGTAGTTGAGGTATGTGTGTGTGCTTTTAGTCATTACTGCAGCTGACTTTCTGACAAATATGTCTCTGATTTCAATGGTACAGGAGAATTTTCACTGATGCAGTTGTATGTGCAGTTCCTCTGAGGTTTTATTTTGTTTAAATCCAAACAGCCTCTGAGGGAAAAGTTTTAAATCCTAAGATTCTCCACCAGACTAAAAAAGGGCAAAGGGGGATTCCAGGATGAGAAGAGAAGGTCACTAAATAAATAAGTACTATAAATATAGATAGGAAATCAGAAAACACTTCTCCGTTGAGGATTAAGCCTCTCACAGGAGGAAATGATAAATATCTCCTTCTGCAGTTGCTTCCAAATGAAACATCTCAGTGTTTCTTTTTAATACAAAAGAACATAAGCAATGCTAGATAAACAGAGCAGGATCCTTTCTGTCAGATTGAGCCTAGTCTTACCGCAGATATCTATGCTCCACAGATAATGATACTTGCAAGGAAAGAAAAGGGGTGTTCTTTTTTCCAAAATACTTTATATGGTATCAGGAAAATGGTGAATATGAAAGCATTATGTAGGTAGATACTATTTCTTCCCAATAGACTCTTTTACTAAACCTCAGCACACAAACACAAAGAAGCAGAAATGGAACAGCTGTGAAATAAAGCCAATTCAGTTGAGCAATCTTTTTTTTTATTAAAAGTTTTAAAAATTTTATACAATATATATCCCAAATCCTTCTCACCCCTCCCCCTTCCCCCACTTCCTGGAGCTGATTACAGGGTTACAAATAAACAATCATAATCTAACTAACATTACCCAACTATACAAACAATCAAATCCATAACATACTTTAACTCCTTTTCAAAATAAATATTATATTAACAAATTAAAAACGAAAATAATAATATAATTAAACCATAATACTAAAACTAATATAAATTCAACCATATTAAACTAATAATCTAAAATTTACTCATAAGCTAGATAATACTTTTTAGTCTCATATTTATTCTGAATATAATCTATCCATCTTCTCCAAACCGAGATATATCTTTCTTGTGAATAGACCTTCAAATAAGCGGAAATTTTTGCCATTTCTGCTAAATTAGACACCTTGAGTATCCATTCTTCCATAGTAGGCAAAGAATCTTTCTTCCAATATTGCCCCACCAATAATCTTGCAGCTGTTATAAGATTCAACATCAAATTAATTTCTTTAACATCAAAATCTACAATAACACCTAACAAAAATAATTGTGGCGTAAACTTTATCTTTCTCTTAAAAATCTTTTGAATGTTCCACCAAATCTTAATCCAAAAAGCTTTTATATTTCTACAAGTCCACCAAATATGAAAATAAGTTGCATCTAAGCTTCCACATCTCCAACATTTGGGCTGTAAATTAGGATACATACAGGACAGCTTTTGAGGATCCAAATGCCAACTATAAATCATTTTATAAAAAGTTTCTCTTAAATTTTGAGTTTGAGTAAATTTTACATTTCTAACCCAAATTGTCTCCCATGTATCCAATAGAATCGGCTCTTGAATATTTTGAGCCCATTTTACCATACAATCTTTAACTAACTCCGTTTCAGAATCCAATTCTATTAAAACATTATAAATTCTCTTTATATGGGCTCGAGTTTGATCTTTAATCTGTTTTACCAAATTCATGTCCCCTAAAGTAATACCAACCTTTTGATCTAAACTCCACCTAACTAACAATTGATTATACTGAAACCAAGAGTGTACAATATTTTCTTGCTTCAACTCAGCTAAAGATTTTAATTGCCAATCCTTCCCTACCAAACTAAGTAATTCCTTATAAGAAATCCTATCCAAATTCACACCCCTAGATACCCCCTCTATCGCGTGTCCAGGAATCCCCCAAATTGGAATTTTATAGTTTAACCCAGCGGTTCTCAACCTATGGGTCGCGACCCCATTTGGGGTCGATTGATCATTTCACGGGGGTCGCCAAGCAAGGCTGCCTGCCATTTTTTCCCCTTTTCCAGCGGGTGCCTTACCTCCCTTGGGCTGGGCCAGCTGGTGGCCCAGCCAGTGGTCGGCCTGCTCCATCTCTGCCGCTTGCCAGCTACGCCTCGGCTGGCGCAGGGGGCAGTACCACACATGCGCGGCGCTCCCGGGCAGGGAAAGTCCTTGACTTACGACCGGTTGGGTAGTCCTCGACTTACGACTGATTTAGTCCTCGACTTACGACCAGTTGGGGGTCACGGTATTAAAAAGGTTAAGAACCACTGGTTTAACCTATAATAATACTTCTTCCAGACACGTAATATTTCTTAAAATATGAGATCTAAAAACCTGATCTACTTTTTATTATAAATTAAATATGCATGCCATCCATATAATAAATCCCATCCTCAAGAAGGAGTATATTTTTATTTGTTAAGTTAAGCCAATCACTAATCAATGTTAAAGCCACCGCATCATAATACAATTTTAAATTAGGTGCCTTAAGTCCTCCTTTTTCCCGTGCATCTTGTATAATCTTAAACTTAACTTTTGGTTTTTTCCCTGCCCAAATAAACTTGTTAATACCCTTCTGCCATTCCTCCAAGTTGGCCAGTTGAGCAATCTTATCTGCTCTCATGGTCTGATTTTTGATTACTGTATCAACTTTAGCCTATTTACTTAGAGGAGTACAATTCTTAATTTTATTTTATTGGGCTCCTGCATGCCAGCCTTTTTGAAGTTGATATCTCAGTTATATTAGTCTTCAAGCCTTCTGAAGTCTATTAGTTATGTGATCTAACAGAATAATAGAGCTGGAAGGGACCTTAAAGGTCTTCTAAACCTTTGCTAAAGCAGGAGACTCTATATCAGGGGTCTTCAACCATGGCCCTTTTATAACTTGTGGATTTCAACTCCCAGAATTCCTCAGCCAGCGTGGGCACAAGGCATAAAAGGGCCAAGGTTGAAGACCCCTGCTCTATATCACATCCGACAAATGGCTGTCCAAATTTGTTACAAAAGAAACCTGCAAACACTCACAAACACATTGCTATTTAACTTTACATGATCATGTTTATTTGGGGTAAAAGTATAAAAATGTACCATGAGCTCAACTGGCATGTTTCTGAAATAGTATATTTGAAGATCAAAAAGTCATACTACATTGGATAAGGTTTTGAGCAAGGCTATACCAGCTGCTATCTTGAGATCTGCTATCTCCTACAGTTCTGAATTGTTGCCAAGAAAAGTCACCATTGCCATGAAGTCACCAGATTCAAGCTTAACTAGGAGGAACCTCACTTTTATAGATGCAGCAACAGAAAGAGTTTTGCATTTTTCAGCTTAATGGACTCAGAAGCTGACATCCTGTTTTGATCTGAGTGTTGTAAGTTTCTAACCCTTCTCAGATAATCCCAGCAGGAAATGAATATAGGCTGTTCATGGCTTGAGACATTTGCTTTTTGACCCACAGATTAGATAAGGGGATCTTAAAAAACTTACTTGCTCTCTGGGAATTTATCTGAGATAGTAATAGTAGTAAAGTTGGAAGGGACCTTGGAGGTCATCTAGTCCAACCCCCTGCTCGGGCAGGAAACCCTACACCATTTCGGACAAATGGCTGTCCAGTCTCTTCTTAAAA